ATGTTTTTTATCAAAAAACTTGACGAAAATATTTAGTCAAAATTTTTTTATGAAAATTTGTTTCGCTAAAGATTTAGACGACTTTTTTTTTTGTTAAAAAGTTTAACGAAAATGTTTATGTCGAAACCTTTCGCCAAAATTTGAATTCTGTAAAGAATTTTGATGAAATTTTTTTCCGTCAAAAAAATTCGATGGAAATGTGTTTTGTCGAAAATTTTGATGAATATGTTTTTTTGTGAAATATTTTGACGAAATTTAGATTCTGTAAAAAAATTTGACAAAAAAAATTTTCCGTCAAATTTTTTTACCGAAATATTTTTTGTCACAAATTTTGATGACAATATATTTCGTCAATAAATTTTGTGAAAAATTTTGATGGAAATATTTTCCATAAAAAATTTTGACGTAATTGTTTTACGTTAAAACTTTTCTTTTAATGTAATTGTGATTTTTTTTTTCTTTTTTTTTTCACATAATGGGTATGAGTCAAGTTTTGGGTCAATGGGTCATTATTAAAACAAGTCAGGTCTAAAACTGACCCAAATAAAAATGGGTCAGTATTTAAACTCAGTTAAAAAAATAGGTATTTCTGGGCAGGGCAAGTGAATCAGTTTTTTTGCACATCTCTAACCTTAAACACCTTTTTATTGGCCAAATACAAAACAATTAAAATTAATTAAACCTAAAATAGAAAATGAAAGTTTAAATATAGTTTACTACACTCCAATTAGCATTAAACACATATAAAAAATAAATAATTGAAATAAAAAACCCTAATGGTTAAAAAATATTATTTGTAAATATAAACTTTTGAATCATTGAAGCTCAAAATACGATCCAAGTTGTAACTCTCAAAACATGTCAACTTCCTTAAACACCTGGGTCATGGTTGATGAGCCATAAATATGATTGAAGCTGTGTTTCTTGAATCAACCCATTAAGTCTTAGGGTAATACTTAACGGGACAAATCTAATGTTTCTGTTTTGGTATCAAATAATGTCAAATTCAAAAGCTAAGCTAAACAAAATATTAGAATTGAATTGAGAAACTGTTTGTTCTTAATATCACTATAAAAAATGGGTAACTAACTGCATAAACAGAAAAATCTAACATCTATACCCAACTGAATTAGTATTTTCATATAGATAATTTGTCTATATATATATATACATCTTAATTAATTTGAATAATTAGATCTGCCCATTTTTTGTATAATAACGATCGGGCTTATCTGAATTCAGGGATGGTCGACCTTAGAATCTGTCTTGCTTCACTAGAGTTTGTTGTGTATAAAACAGAAAGACAATTTTGTAACTTACCCTATATAAATACATCTTAGTATTCCATCTTAGTTGAAATACTTAGATCCGAACTTTTGTTTTGTATAATAATAATAATCTAGCTTATCTAAATTCAGGGATTGTTGACCTTATAATCCGTCTTAATTTGTCTACTAGAGTTTGTTGTGTACAAAACATAAAGTCAATTTTATAACTTAAAGGAAGTAGACTCCAATGCAGTTCTGGTATAATATAACACGTACAAGGTTACAAGAGGGGAGGGAAGAGACATCAACATATGATGGTTAGATGCGATCGGTACCATAAAATGAAAAGAGACCCACAAATGCCAAAATTATGTCCAATTATTATATGCTGACTACAGAGAATTAAGGTATAGCCGGCTTCCATCTTCAAAACAAATGATATACCTCGCAAACTAGTTGTCTCTATGCGCATTGGCTTTCTCCTATATAAACTTCAACCACAATGTCTAAAACCACAACGTTAACATCAGAGAGCAATAACTAAAAAGGGAATTGAAAGAGGAAGAATGGCGAAGTCTTCGAACATCAGCTTTGCTTTGATTTTTTCATGTCTTCTCGTGATGATGCTCATAGCTGAAAGTCGACCAACCCCAAATGCTGGTAAGTCTGCCTGCAATTAATTACGTTTTTAAATCAGTAATATATATTTTGAGTCCAACATGCAACATTGGTTTATAGCTTTTAATATAGAGTACTTTGTTGGGGGCAATATATAGTTATGACAAATGACATGATTTAGTCATAACTAGCATATGAGGTGTGGCTCATCTGAATAGTTTAGAATAAATGTAATTAGTTTATAATTGTTATCTAGTGATTGGGAGAGATAGTCTGAGAGAAGTGTTAATTTCAAATGTAATGGGTGGTATGAATATAAATTATAAAACGATAATAATAATAAACCAATATATCTAACATTTATATACATTTTGCAGTGGGGGTTGCAAATGCAGATACAATATGTCATGTAGTTCATAGCGTGGATGAAGGTGAAGATTGCTTCAGCATCAGTCAAACGTTTAGTCTGGATGAGGGTCACTTCCTTGAAATCAATCCCAATATCAACTGTATCGATCTCTTTGTTGGCCAATGGGTGTGTATTGAAGGACAAGTGGTTTGAGTTGTGCCTATCATCCTATTTAGAAAAACTTCCAATAGAGTAATTTACAATAAGAAGAAACTAAGTTTTTCTCCTTACTCGTATTATCACATCAAAATGTAAAGTGACATGTTTGAATTTATGAAAGGAATGAAATAATTATGTTACTCGTCTCAGTCATTAAGTATTGCATCAGCTTAAGCATTTGACATATCAACATCCCAATACTAGAACTACTAATAGTAAAAAAGTCCATAATAATTAATTATTTTTATTTAAGAGAATGAGAACCGCAACCACATAGAGTGTGCATGACAACCGCTCTGTTCTTTGGCGCTGTTTCTGAAAAGAAACAATTCTTTTATATTTCTGTGCCTTGGAATAGTTTCTGAGAAAAAAATGTGTTTGATAACATGTTCTATTTTTATTCTGAGAATGAGAATTGTGTTTGATAACACAACAAATAATATAATAAAAAATAATTTCAATTAAACATAAAAAAATTTCAGATCGTCACTTTCCTTTCTATACGGTGGTGGTGGCAGCGTGGTGGTGGTGACGGCAATGGTGATAATAGTGGCTTTGGTGGTGGGGGTGACGGAAGTGGCTGTGGCGGCGATAATGTTAATGGTGGCGACATAGTGGTGGTGGCAGTGGCGATAGTGGTAGTGGTGACAGCAGTGACTGCGATGATGGTGGTGGTGGTGGTGGTGTGGTAGTGGTGGTGGTGATGGCGGCGTGGTAGAAATGGTGGTAGTGTGGTGATAGTAGTGGTGGTGATGGTGACAGCAATGGTTGCAGTGGCCGTGGTGGTAATGGTGGCGATGATGGATGCATAACGGTGGTGGCGATGGCGGTGGTAGTGGTGGCGATGGCGGTGGTAGTGATGGCGATGGTGGTGGTGGTGACAGCAGTAACTGCGACAGTGGTGGTGGTGGCGACAATAGTGGCGGTGGCATGGTGGTGGTGGTGGTGATGGCAGTGGTTGTGCCGATGGTACGTGGTGATGGTGCGGTGATGGTGGCAGTGGTGATGTCAGTGGCTGCGGCGGTGGTGATGATAATGACAGCAACGGATGTGGCGATGGTGGTGGTGGTGACGGCAGTGGCTACAAGAATGGTAATGGTGGTGGTGGGGGTGATGGTTATGGTGATTGGTGATGGTGGTGATGATGATGGTGGTGACGATGATAGTAATGGAGGTGGCGGTGACAGTGGTGATGGTGGTACAAAGGCGGCGGCGACGATGGTGGAGGTAGTCGTGTCGAGATGATGGTGGTGGTGGTGATGATGGTATAGGTAGAGAGTGATTGAGAGAGACAAGTGTTTTTTATTTTTTGTCCGAGAACAAAAAAGTAGAATTTTTTTTGTTCTTTAATCTGTTCCTCAGCACAAAAATTAAACTGTTCATTCTGGGAACAAAAAAAAAAACCGCTTTTACCAAATAAGTTTTCTATCCATTTCTGTTTCTGTGAATAAAAATTAAAAAAAAAAAAATTGATTCCAAAAAGATTGTCATGCACACCTATTATCATGGAAGCTCTGATACCATATAAATAACCAATTTAACTCAAAAGTCTAAGCTGTTGGTGAGGCTACATTAATGATTATATATTTCTCTAACATTATATAATAAAATTGGTTATTTAAAAAATTACATAATAAGCAAAATTAACAAAAAAAGATATAAAGCTCGCATAAATAATTTATTTCCCCTTTTAATCCTCCTTTCAAGGAGAGCATTTTTTGTACTACTGTCACACTGAGTGTTCAGTGCGACGGTCATATTTGCACTATGTATTCTCTGGAATATAAAGTGTAAATATTAAAGTTATTATTTTTCTCTTTCCACGATAATTTATGAGAAGAGAAAAAAAAATAATTTTAATATTTACATTATTTATTTCTAAAAATACATAGTATAATTGACTGTCATGCTGAACACTCAGCGTCAACTGTCAAGATAGTATACTAAATTTTTTCCCCTTCAAAACGCAAAATATGTGAATTCCGCAAACTATATGTGTTTCTTCTCCCTATCAAATAAATGTTGAAGGAAAAACTTTTTTCTTTTTTTCTTTTTTTCTTTTTTCTTTTATGTAAAAAATACCATACCAAACAGACTTTCAGAGTAATCTGTATTGATTAGAATATCTTTTATCTTATAATTATAAATATAATCTCCTGAATTTAATATATTGAGTTACATCAAAGATATCAACTATCTTCGATAAAATATAAAAATAACAAAAATATCAACTATCTTACACAAATATATTTCAAGTGAAAATAAAAGTGATTTTAAATTCTGAAAGATTCTAGATGTGTGTATCCATATTATTATTGTTATTATAACCGAAAACAGCCGGCTGCCCAACCCAATTGTACCTACCGTTAAGTTTTGGTATATATTAAAAGAGATTATCATTTCTGATAAAAAAAATTTATCATTGAGACATAAAAAAATATATATATATATATGGGTCCCATTGTTATTTTCTTTCTCATTCCTTGACGTTCTCTCTTTTATTGTTTTATGTCTGAGTGGCAGAAAAAAATTTTCTATCACTAAAACAGAAATGATAATTCCATATTAAAAAAACAAAAAAGAAAAAGGTGCTCTACTTCAATCGTGTTCTTTATGGGTGTTTCGTGAACTCAGAAGGTGCTGTCCTCTCTGAAACGCGAAACGAAGCTTGCTGCGAATAGGGTTTGAACTCGAACGAAGCTCTCCCAACGCTTTCTGCTGTACGTCCCCGTCGCTCTCTCCATATTTTGTTTCATTCAAAGAACAATTGCCTGAATTTTTTATTTTAATTATTTTTCAGATGTTGGAATGAGTGAGAAAATGTCGATTGCAACGCCTTTCAGCAAGTTGATTAGATGTGTTATCCTTGATCTGGATGGCACGCTGCTCAACACAGGTCAGTGCTCTCTGCTCTTGATTTTGTGTTTTCCTTCGCTCAATTGAAGATACATATGCGTGCCTTTTTTTATTTTTTTTTATTTTGTGGTTGGGGTTTTGTTTCTGTTACTTGTTTAATACCACTCAAGTTGTGCTTTGGTAACAGATGGCATTGTAGGCAACGTTTTGAAGGTTTTGTTAGGTAAGTATGGAAAGGAATGGGATGGAAGGGAAACTCATAAAATTATAGGAACGACACCGTTTGAAGCTGCTGCTACAGTTGTAAAAGATTACGGACTTTCATGCTCGACCACTGAGTTTTTTTCTGAGATTTCGCCATTGTTCAATAATCAGTAATTATCTGTTATATCATTCTTATTAGTTACTGTTTGGATCCTCTTATTTTTAGCTTTTTTTTCTCGTTACAAGCAGAACTTAGGCCAAACAAGTTTTGAGATAAGCTCTTATAATGAAAAGTTTTTTTTTGGATAATGAAGAAAAAAGCCAAAAGCTCTTAGGCCATAGAGAGAGGTTTTTCTTAAAATGTGTGTTTTTAAGTTCAAAATTTTATGTTATCACCAAACACTTTTAGTTTTTTTTCTAAGCTTTGTTTATCTTTAGCTTAAAAGTAAGTTCTAGCTTAAAAAAAAGAGGATTCAAACATGCTCTGAAAAAAATTAGTTTATGGAGATAATTTTATCTCATATGAGGAACTTTAAATTGAAAAACTTTATTGTCCGAAATCTTTGTTCAATTGAAAAACTTTTGAGTTGTATTGGAGATACAACTAATTGCTTTTTCTTTATCTTCAATAGAGTTAGTTACTTGGTTGATCAATTGAACTTGTAGTTTCATCTTCTGAGGGAATTTTTCTCTTAATATTTACTCTATTCTCATTTTAGGTGGGGCAACATTAAAGCACTTCCTGGTGCCAATCGGTTGATTAAACATTTGAAGAGTCATGGAGTTCCGATGGCCTTGGCATCAAACTCTCCGAGGGAAAACATTGAAGCCAAAATATCCTATCATGATGGTTGATTTATATCTGGAACTTTAAGCTTTCTCATGTTCCTTTTGTCTTTGTTTGTGCGTGTTGATGTAAGTAGGGACGTGTTTGTTCTTTTGTTGTTTTCGAATGCAGGATGGAAAAATTGCTTCTCGGTCATAATTGGTGGAGATGAAGTCAAAACCGGGAAACCTTCCCCTGAAATGTGAGATGCAATGATGTATTGTTTAGCTTTGATTACTAAGAGTTACTTGTCTACTATATTAGAAAGAACTTTTTCTTCCAAAAATTTTATGTTGTGCTTTATCATGTTAGATTCCATGAAGCTGCTAGGAGGTTAAGCGTGGAGCCTTCCAGCTGTCTTGTCATTGAAGATTCTCTGTGAGTTCCTTGATTACTGTCCTTCGCCTGGTATTTATCTGTTTCGTATATGATTTCTTGTCCCAGCTCCAAGTCTTCTTTGATGATTACACTTTCTGCTGGATTATTATTTGCTTTTATCTCCACTACACCCCAGAAAAGAAACTTGTTTAAATTATTGGATGTCCCATTAATTATATTTGCAAAATACAAAGATAAACTCTTTTGCTTCTGCACCTCTTCATGTAAAATAAAACGATTCTAAATATTTCTATAGAATCTCTAAACATCCTCCCCCCCCCACACACACACACACACACACACACACACACAACAACAACAAAAAACAAAAGAGAGTCTGTAGCCTAGTGCTCACAACATTAAGTTCGTACATAGATGTTTGGCTTTGAAATAAATCACCTATTGACTGAGGAAGAATGTTATGTTGATAGCTCGGCCAGCCAAAATTACTTGCTTTTACCTTGTAAGGATGGTGGCTAGTCTTTGAAGAAGTGAAGCACTTTTTATTTTTATTTTCTGTAATTGCTGAATGCTTAGTCGGGTGCAATGTATGTGTGGTTGACAGAGAGAAAGAGAGTAGTTGGGTGCATTGGGACTTGGGGCTTGTGATAGAAATTTGAGAGAACCCTTATAATACTTTTTATTCTCTTGACAAAATTCCTTAATAATATTCTCTTGTGTATGTGTGCTTAGGTTGAATTACCATTTGTTCTTATGATTTAAACTTTCTTTTTCCTACATCTCCTTGCTTGACAACTGATTTAAGTCTTGGCCTATTACAACTTGCTGGAAAGAACTGTATGTCTGTAACCCATGAATTTTCCCTTTGATACTTTGAAATGGAGCTTTGGAATTTTAGTTTAAAATCTTTCTTAATTTGAAAGGATTTTTCTAGCACTCTCAAGTTGTGTGCATCTATTCTTTTGACATTATAGACAAAATAATCACTGTTCAATTCTTATTACATTTTGGTCAAACACTCCCCTTCCATTATGATCTACAGTGATTGCTATTTTGTAAATATCTTAGACAGCTTACTTCAAAATAGCCAAAGACTGTTTGCTTCTTTTCTGCAAGGTTGCTATTAAAAAATGGTGATTTTTTATCCTAGATTCTTTTCTTTACACCTTACGGATGCTTCCTTTCCTCCTTATCTTCTTTCTAAACACATGTATACTTGGCTATTCAGACCTGGTGTCACTGCAGGTAAGACTGCTGAAATGGAAGTGATTGCTGTACCATCACTTCCAAAACAGCCACATCTCTATACTGCAGCAGATGAGGTGATCAATTCCCTACTTGATTTGCAACTTGAAAAGTGGGGTCTACCTCCATTTGAAGATTGTAAACCCCAAATACCTTAATTCGTGTGTATTGTGTTTCTTTTATCCGCATGTCATTTATATTTGAGCTAGTATTCTAAATTATTGCAGGGGTGGAGGGAACTTTGCCTATAGATCCTTGGTATATTGGTGGTCCTGTCATCAAGGGTTTTGGTCGGGGCTCGAAGATGCTCGGGATCCCCACAGGTTTGTTTCAACTTATTGCTCGTGTGATATGTCATGAAGCTGAATAGTAGATATGCAAAAGATGGGTGATTCAGAATGATACTATGAACTTTTATGTTTTGTGGTTCCTTGTGTTATAAGCTTGAGACCTTGATTTTGTAATTTGCCCCTGAATATATTAGGATTATACTGTCTGAAACAATTTTTGGCCTATTATACTATCAGTAATTGGTGCACTATTTTCTTCCAGCTAATTTGTCAGCAAAGGGCTATTCAGATCTCCTCACAGAGCATCCTGCAGGAGTTTATTTTGGTTGGGCTGGATTATCAGCAAGAGGTGTTTTTAAAATGGTGATGAGCATTGGTTGGAATCCATATTTCAACAACAAAGAAAAGACTATTGTAAGTGTTTTATTATTCACCTCTAGCTATAATTATTTGCCTCAGAATTTTCGTATAATCTTTTTTTAATGTAGGAACCATGGCTACTTCATGACTTTAATGAGGATTTTTATGGGGAAGAACTGCGACTTGTTATAGTTGGTTACATACGTCCGGAGGTATAGCTGAATAAATTTTTCTCCTACCTTTTTTTCTGTCATGCTTCCGCCCTCCATACACTTTCCGAGTTCCACTAAAATTGGGCATTCTGCACAACAGGTCAATTTTCCATCCCTTGAAAGCTTGATAGCTAAGATTCATGAAGACCGCAAAGTTGCTGAGAGGGCTCTTGATCTTCCCTTGTATTCAAGTTATAAGAATGATTCATATGTGAGAAGCTCGTAGTACTGATTTTATGAATCCTATAGCTTCTTGTTGATGAAACCCCTGCATTTGGACTGGTATTATTGTTTTGGGTGCAAAATCCACTTCTTCCACACAAAAACTGTTTGTCATATTATACTTTATGATTCTTAATCATCACAATGCAATGTGATTTGAAACATGCATAAAGTAGTAATACAAAAATAGCCGTTATTTTCCTTTCAATAATTAACGTGCCTATTGGGGATTTGGATCCTTAATTGAGCTTCCTAACATACCTGTAGGAGATACCCAAGATGCTCTCATATTTCCTACATGGATTCTATGTTCCTCCAAATGAAACCAACTGTAGTGTCCTCGCTATCTTAACATGGGAAGCTACAGAATCCAAATCCTTCAAAATTGTATCCATGTGGTTTTTAGCTTAAACTGTAAGATTTTGATATTGGTTTTTGGTAGAATGTGTGTGATGAAAGAAAAAAAGAGATAGAGGGTTAAACCGCTAAATGATGTTTATAGCAGCCATAAATTTATATTCGAACTTGTCTTTATGTTAAAAATATGGTTTTAGCATAAAATTAGAAGAGAAATAATACTGTACGATATTGACTGGATGATCGTTGAAATAACTATTAGTGAAATATTTATCAATAAAAACTACATAAAATTGTATACAAAAATTAAAAAAGAAAATATTATCAAATTGAGAGATTGATTGAAGTTATTACATTACATTTTACGTGTGCAAGTTATAAAGGCTATTTTATTAAGGGTTTATTGTTTATTATGTCATTGGATGGTCAAGTCAGTATTAAACTACGTCGTTTTGTTTATTTACTTTCATATATTTATTGATTCATCTTTGAATGATTATGATTTCTTTTTTCTCTTTCTTCCTTTATCACCTTTGATTCACTTTTGTACGGTTATGATTTAGTGACTGGACAAATACTTATATCCAGTGACTTGACACTCATCAAACCTTTTTATTAATTGTATTTTTTACTTTATATCAAGATCCAAAATATATGAAGAATTAAGAAAAGAATTTATCTAATTTAAATGTGGTCATTTTCATTCTCAATTTCAATCTCAATCTATAAACGATTGTTCATTCTCTTTTTAAATAGCACCTCTTGAAGAGGCCGGAAGAAAGTGAACTCGGTGAAATAAGTACGGCTACCAATTGCAATAATATCAAGAACACGGAACAATATGAATGTCGTGGAAAACGACAAATATTTGGTTGATGTTGACGCAAAAGCAATAATAAACTACATTGACATGTGAGAAAAACATGATAAAATTATAATTGTCGTCAACGAATTTGTGCTGCTCAATAACTCTTGTTGTTTCATGAGATAATTTAAATTCAGAACCCAAAATCATTCAAGAATGCCAAATGCATTCAGACTGCAATGAATGGGAGGAGACAATTAAGGAAGAACAAGGATTTTCACAAAGACATAACATCAATTATGATGCTTCTTATTCTTGTGTAATGGATTGTATTATATTTTGATACTTGATCAATATGGCAACTAGGATGCATCTTGAGATGTATTTAATGAATATCGTGACTGTGGGGTCACTTGGCAATAAAATTTATGTGAAAATCCTAGAAGGATTCCCCATATCCCATATTAGAAAGAATGAAAATCTCAACATGTTTAATATTAAGATGCAAATATCACTGTATGATCTCAAACAAATTATTGTCTAACCTGGATATTGAGAATCTTCCAAAAAAGGGTTTTTTTATTGCACCAATATAACTATATAATTACACAAATGATGGTCCATTCATTAGAAGTTAATAAAGATCCATTTACATCTAAAGAAGCTAATGAGAAGGGACTAGAACCTGGAATTCCTTATCTCAAGTGAGCTCTATTATATCCTGCAAATTGCAATAGGCCTGATAATGCATTTGTAGTAAATGTTGAAGCTAGACATAGTGTTGCTCTTACCCGAAATCATTGGAATGACATTAAACACATTTTCATTATCTTCAAGGTTTTATCCACAGGATAGATCGAGATTTTACGTAGGTAGAATATTTTGATGTTGGCTATATGTTGAAAAAAAAAATTAATTTTTAAATGACTTAAATTTTGCAACTATTGGCACTAATAATGTAATCATTACCCATATATGTTTGATAATCATATATTAGATATGTGTCCCTTCCTGGAGACACTGCGATGTCATGGAATGTCCTAAAAGCAAAGTTTAGTTGTTACTTCCTTATATCACTCGAAGACCATTGCATTATATGAAGCTCCTCCAAAATGTATGTAAAACTACACATTAATGTTTCGTTTACCTACAATTGTTGATACCCCACTGTCCTCTCTCGGGATAATGCAGCTTGCATTGCACAATGAATGAAGGATATGTTAAGAGTGATAGGACTATATATTTCACTAAAATTGTTTTACACACATGAACTATGAGAGAAAGTTGAAATAGGTATCCATCATGTTCACTCAAGTTTAAATCTTACAGATTTATTCACTAAATCCTTACCTACTTCCACACTTGAGAAATTATATTTGCATAAGCTTAAACTTAATAGATTATTTTCATTAAGGGAAGTGAATTAATTTTGACTATCCAAGAAGAATAGAGCCCTTAAGTGTTTTCTTCCCTTTGCTAAGTTTTTTTTCCCAAAGGGATATTTTAGCTAACTATTTTTAATGATACAGTTTGTGTAAGGCTTTGGTAGTGCATGTCTTGTACTCTTTTACTTTCTCTGGTTTTATCGTTTGGATTTTTCTAGCAAAGTTTTAACGAGGTATGAACTTAGCACAAGATGTAAATGGACGTTACTAATCTAATTGGATGGACGTTACTATACTTGATCATAGGAGAAGATTACGAAATAATCTTTACAAAAAATTATAATTGTTGCTCTACTTTCTTAGCTCCAGTAATAACTATATGGCTCAATTCAGGAAGAATTAACCAAGTTCCTTTTATCAAGTTTTATCTTACTGGATTTTTTTTTGAAATGTTTTTAATGGGGAAATATATGTTAACATATCAAATATGGCAAGTTAAACATGAATATTATACTCTTTTTCCTGCTCTAAGTTTTTTTATTCCACCGAAATTTTTTTAGTAAGGTTATAATGAGACGTATCCATAATCTATAGTCATTCAATGAAAAGTGTTGGAAAAAAATTAATTAAATGACTTAAATTTTGTAACCATTGGCATTAATAATGTAATTATCCTCCATTTATAATTTCGTAACCATCACACTAATGAAGTATTAACTCCCTCTCATTCATGATTGCAATCTTATATATGGGAATTGTTTGCTTTGAAAAACTTTGAAGACTAAGAATAAAAAATCTACTCTACTTATCCAAGAATTGTTAGTATGCTAGACCCCAAGATTTGATTTATTCATAAGGTAGTGAGTTCGTTCTTAAGAGTTGCATTTCCTGGGGAGAACCACCCTACTTCCCTTTGATTTATTCTCTTTTATCTCATTTTGTCTTATAACACGATAGTTTCTCATTTATCTCCCTTTATTTCATAACAATTTTCAATTTTTAATCCTATGGTCAATCAACTTGAGATATCATACGTTCTTATTAGATCATCATACAATTAGCTTTGTATGAAATCTTTATCAATAAAAATATGTAAAACCAAGAACTTGTAATTCCCAAATAAATATATATACACACCCACGAAGAAAAAAAAAAAACTTTAATTGATTTATTTAAAACTGTCATAAAGAAAGAAAATTAGAAAACACCATGAGCTGCGAGGGAGAGTGAGTTTTTGGCGCTTGTAGTTAAAGGCTTAAAGCAAAGGTCTCCACTGTCAAGCACCGTGGTTGGGCAGTATCGATGGGAGAAGAAGAAAAAGAGGTGGTTGAATCCGAATCCAATATACCAAACCCGAACCCGAACGAAGAGTACTCGTGGCCTGTACTTCGGTTCGATGTCCCTCCTCATAGAACCTACCACTTCCACCGCCAGTTCATCACTCCCACTAACCCTAACAATTTCCTCAAGGCCGTTAAATGGTACACTCATTCCCCTCACTCCCACTCTTATAACCTTCCGCTACCTTTCTCTCCCTCTCAAATCTCAATTTCAAATTCAACTTTTCGTTTTCTTCTTTTCATTTTCAGGTCACCTGATGGCTCCTGTTTCCTCACCACTTCCGACGATAACACTCTTCGCATCTTCACGCCGTAAACCTTCTCTTTATTATAAGCTTCTATTATTCCAATGTTACTATCTATTCTAAATCTACTAATTCCACACAATTAATTGCAGACCGAGTAGTGAAAGTGACATTCCTCTTGATGCTTCAGATGATGATGGTAATGCTTTTGCCTGCAACTGCTGATTAAAATTTGATTCATATGATAATTGAATGAAAGTTTGTTATTGTTTGCTGCAGATTCCTTTGCTGCAAATTTAGTCATGAGTGAAGGAGAGTCTATTCATGATTTCTGTTGGTATCCTTACATGTCTGCTTCAGGTCTTTCTTTTTATTTGAGAATATTTGTGTGTTTTCCTCTGCTTCTTCAACTTATGTGCGTTTGGTAACTGATTGTGATGTCTATATGTCTATGTTAATGCATATTTGGTGTGTAATTTTTGTTTGCGTTTCAGATCCTGTGACTAATGTTTTCGCGACTACTACTCGCGACCATCCAATACATCTATGGGATGCTACATCAGGCCAGGTGCTTTTGTTATTAAGCCTTTTTTTTTTTTTTTTTTTTTTGGCTTAAAGTGTTCCACCTGCAGAAAAAAGCCAAATAATAAAATGTGTGAAAGTTTGAAATTCAATATTCGTTATTCCGAAATTGAAAGTAGGAGTACTATGTTGAGGTGACATAGATTGGTACAATGTGACTGTTTAAGTTCGGGTTGAACAGGGATATAGCTTCTCTCTTCAAGTGTTTGTTCTTTATAGTTTTAAATGTTACACTTGAGTATTTGAATTTTGAAGACACATTGTGGTTTCTGTACTGCTTTTATAGTTTCTGACCATTGTTTTCAATGAAACTTGCAGTTACGTTGCACATATCGAGCATATGATGCTATGGATGAAATTACTACAGCTTTTTCAATTGCTTTTAATCCTTCCGGGACTAAGTAAGCAACATGTTTCTTTTCAAGGAACAGTAGTTGGTGTATTCTGCATAGTAGATACATAATGCAATGTTTCTATGATAACTTGTATTTCATGCTCACAAGTCCCAAGTTTTTTTTTTCCTTCAAGCTTTCTTTTGGATATTTAAACATACTACCATTCCTTGGGTTATTTGTTATTATGTTCAAAGTTCAAACTGATATTGGAAAATAAATATATGTTAAGTTAGCTGACATCAGTAAAGTTTCAGATGATATGTCATGCTAAGGAGCAATTGTTGGGATTGTTGTCTGTGATTGTCTGAGTCGAAATATGATTCTTCCTTGTTTTTCAAAATGTGGTATGACTTAAATTGTGAATGTTATTAATAGATGATGAAGAACCTTAAACTCTTGCTTTATCTTGTAGGATATTTGCTGGATACAATAAATGTATTAGGATGTTTGATTTACATCGACCTGGTAGAGATTTTGAAATGTATTCAACAGTTAAAGATAAAAAAGAAGGCCAAACAGGTAATTTTTCTAATAGAGGCTACTAACTAGAGTTTTTTTTTTTTTAAGGGGAGTAATAATGGCTATAGAAAAAATGTCTGAGAAAATTCTGACACAAACAGATTCATATAATTCAGTTTATTTTAATGCAGGTATTTTATCTGCAATGGCTTTTTCTCCCTCTAATGGGATGCTAGCTGTGGGTTCTTACAGTCAAACTACTGCTATTTATAAGGAAGATAACATGGAGCTCTTGTACGTTTTGCATGGTCAAGAAGGTGGGATTACACATGTAAGTTAGGGTTACTTCTAGATAATTGATTCCCATTACAAAATTGAGAAGAGAGCCTAAAATTTCCCCTCTTTCAGGTCCAATTTTCCAGAGATGGAAATTATTTATATACTGGAGGCCGGAAGGTAAGATTTTCTCTCTATCTTGAGTATGGACAGCTCTGTATATCATATTCTTATTACATAGCTAATTGGTACTCAAAGTTCAACCATAATATTAATATCTTTGATGCAGCCCCCCTCCCCCCTTTTTTATGGTTGCATTTTAACACTGTTTTCATATATGATATCAACCAATTTCTAACATTCAAATTTCTTGAAGGACCCTTATATACTCTGCTGGGATGTGCGCAAAGCTGTTGATTGTGTGTACAAGTACTATTCTCTCACTTCATTTAACTATGGTTTATCTATGAAAATTTTATGTGAACTGAAGAAAAGTATTAGGCATAGAAGTGTGAAGTGTACTTTCTAACAAACAAAACTGAATCAAGGTTATGATTCAAATGAGGGAATAACAAAATTACAAGCTACACTATAGCACTTCCATGAAAATAAAGGATTGGATTTCCGTATTGAAATTATTATAGACTTGTCCATTTCTTAATATTCTGAGGGAGGCAGGGAGCACATACTATGCCTGTCAAAAGAGTCCAAGTACTTTGGGTAACTGCTACCGAGTGAATTATGGTTTCGTACAATAATTCCCTTCATATGAAACCTTGACTGACTCTAACTACACTGTTTCGCATGTTTAATTTTTTTTTTTTTTTAAATGGAGCTTTTGCACAATGGTTGGTGTTGTCGCCTTGTGATTTGGAAGTCACGGGTTTAAATCATGTAATTAGCCTCTTGCAAATGCAAGGTAAGGCTCTCTACTATAGATTAGACCTTCGCTGGACTCTGCACAAAGCAAGAGCTTTATAGCACCAGGTTTCCCTTTGAAAGAAATTCTTGTACTATTTATTCCATAAGCATACATGCTGAAAGCTGAGATGGCTGCATGTATGCACCTTGTTACTAGGTTATACAGATCATCGGAAAACACCAATCAGCGGATACTGTTTGATATTGACCCTTCTGGACGGCATCTTGGCACAGGCGGCCAGGTATCTTCTTCCTTGACCATTCTTGTTGTCTAGCAATGTCAATGATGGTCAATTAATATTCAGTTTATGTTTCTAATTAATTATTTTTGCATTTTTGGATTTAGGATGGTTTAGTACATATATATGATCTTCAAACTGGGCAGTGGGTGTCAAGTTTCGAGGCTGCATTAGGTACTGAAATCTTATTCTCATAAATGATGCTGGTGGTTATATAATATTTATCTCAATCTTGGCTTTTATCTCAAATTTTTTGAATTTGTCTCCCTTGACAGATCTATTAGTTTTGTTAAAGTATTCTGCCTCGTTTAGAAGAACAACTGCTATGTATTTATTCTCAGTTTGTGTTTCTTTAATATGTCAAATTATGTCTTGCTCCGTCATCCACTCTTGCACTATTGGTTGAAGTTCATAGTCAAACTATCTAAATTTTTTTGGTGCTGCAATCATATCTCTGAAACCATCTCAATTGCCTATTCATTGTGGTTTCTTTCAATTTACCTTTTCCCACCATTTTTTATAATTTCCTCAATTTTGACAATTTTCTTCCTTATTTATTTATCTTCCTCTCTAATTTATTTATTCCCTCTTATTTTTATTTTATTTTTCTTTATTTTCCTTTTTATTTCTTGTTTTTCCCCACAATGTATTCTTGCTTTTTATTTGGGTTCATCGATCCCATTAGTTTGGTATTAAGGTGATATTTATTATGCTTGTGTTAACATGATGTTTTGACAGTTTTGTTAAGCATTCATCCAGTTTTAGACATTAAAAGAGGGGAGGGAGAGACCCTTAAGTTTCTTGAAGTTTCTTTCCTTCCATAAAAATGAATTTATATTTTTGCGAGGAATATACTATTATGAGTTAGTGATCAGCGTGGGCTAGTGATCGGCCAATTGACAGTAAATTTTCTCTGTACATACTTCTCATGCTCGTAACTGTAATAAGCTTTCTTTTATTCTATTTGTTGTACAGACACGGTTAACGGCTTCTCTTTCCATCCATTTCTGCCCTCTGCTGTGTCATCCTCAGGCCACCGAAGATTTGTAATTCCAGATGATGGCAATGAAGATTTGTTTTTGAGTGGTATCTTTGATCTTGACGTGCAGCTAATTTTCTTAGTGATTTTCTATAGTTTCTTTTATTTCATCATTGTTTATGTTTAATATTGGCATGATATTATATTATTACATAAGTTTCATAGTTATTACCTAATGTTATATTATCAATAAAACTATAGATTTTAGAAGTTCTGAGAAACAGTATATCCTGTGGTGCATAAAGCGACTTCACAAGTTTTACTGGTTTTCATTAATTATTTTCATTGTGTTTAATATAGGTCGTGAAAACTGTGTTGCGCTGTGGAGTTTCTTTTATGATTCATTGATGGAGAAAGATTTGAAGGACGATGGGAGTTTCAATAATCAATCTGAAAGTGGATACTTGGACTAAAATTTGAGGCCACCTTGTACCAATCAATTAAAACAAGTTTCTTTTGTACCCATTGATCAAAATGGTTCCTTTTGTCTAATCGTTCTGTGACAAAAGACTGATCAAAGTTTTGCATATATAGTTTATGGGATTAATGTTTCTGATGTGTATAAAATAATTTTATTTTCTACACACACATAAAAATATAAGTCCATGTTATTATTTCTCTCTCTTCTCTTCGTATAGTCTCATATAAGTCTTATACACTTTAATGTATGTAGAAGATAAAATTATCTCCCTATAATATGAGAAATATTTTATTTTTTTTTGAATAAAATACAGGTATTCTTCATGGGCAGCAATCCTATTCGGAACTAGTCCAGGATAAGGTTTTAAATCTCTCTCAAAAATAATATTGGAGATAATCGAACATATGCTTATTATTATCATTTGGTTAACATGAGAAACAATAATCTTATAGTTTATACATGTAAACTTCTAGGTGGAATAAGGATTACTTTTTGCTCTTCATTTTGTTGGTGAGATATTGCTACTGTATTTTTTTTTTTTTTTTTTTTTTCTAAATAAAGAGGGGCTAAGCTCCAGAAACAGAAAGAAATTACAAATCAGAAACTAACAAGCTAGACATATTTCTAGCATCAGCAACTATAAGTTCCATCAATTGAGGAGGAGGATCTTTAAAAATCTTGAAATGGAGATTATTAGTCTGTCCAGCTTTAGCTAATGAGCACATTTGTTGTTTTCTCTCTTGGTATGAACAAGATGAATAGTCCAATCTGCTTTTAACCATAATCTCAATCTGCTAGTGACTTGAGAGTCCCTAGGATCTTCATGCTGCTCCTTTAACATCTGGATTGCTACTGTATTTTAGTTTACAAGTTTCAAGTTTCAACTCTCATTTGTGTATCGTTCTTTCTTTAACAGCCACGTGAAAATTGTGTTTATATTCGGGAATTAAGTGATCTTCGATTGTAATATACAACATCAGAGAACCCTGGCGGACTATGCCAAAGAAAAAAAAATGGAGTTGATTGTTTAGATATCAACGACGATCTGAAAGTACCGGTGAGGATCCTCTCGACGATAACTAGGATTGCTTTGAAAGCTAATATCAACAGTAGACTTGGACAACAGAGTAAAGTGGTTAAAGGAATTGAAATTGGGAGGATTATTAGTAAGTAGCTTAATATCTGTATACTGTACGATAATATTTTTATACTAAATATTTGATCTAGTAATTTATTGTTGCCTATATGTATAACTCATTAATTTTTTTTTCCTTCCAGTTCTTCGATCATCCGAATAGTTTGATACGGGTTCGAATTTGAAATCACATACTAAGTTGGAGAAACTCCAAGTTATTCCACGGCTTGGTGGTATTAAAATTTGTTTGCTAGCAATTACTCTTGCACACTCATTATTAATTAATGATTTTCCAAATTTCTTATAAATATAAATTCCTTTCATATCTTGATTTATATTTCACATATCTGAAATATACCATATAAAAATTTTGATGTTACAAAATTCAAATCAAACAATAATACATGAAACTATACACTAAATTTTAAATTTAAATTTTTTGTCAAATCCATGATTCCTTTATCCTTCTCATTTACTTTTTTTTTGGTATAACCTAAAACTATCTGCATTCAGTCTCTCCTTTGTTTATTTTATTTTCGAAGTACGGACCCGAAGGCTACCCTTTATTATTGCCCCTCGTTGCCCCAAAGATTTTTTAAAAATTTACTTGAGGCAAGATTTAAACCCTTGACTCAAACAAATCCTTGGAAGCTCAGTTGTCAACTGAATTACCCTTGTATTTTGGGAACAAAGATTGATAGTTTGCCTTGTAGTAGATTTAGAGGTGGCAATATGGGTTGAGCCCGGCGGGTCAACCCGCCAAAACGCCAAAATCGGGAAATATTTTTTATGCTCCAGGACCACCTAATGATTTGGTGCTCTCTCTCACAACACTAATTTTTTCATTCCCTTTTTACCCCTACTATTTTTCTTCTTTTCCAATTTTACCCTCTCATTTACACTAACCTAAAAAATGGTGGTCTCGGACCACAATAAATTCTCTCCCAAAATGGGGTGGGTTGGGTTGAGGTTTTCAACCCACTTCAACCCGCCTCGCCTAGAAGTAGATCAAAATGAATTCAACCCCCCGGGTTATATTTTTTTTTTACAATTAGATAGTATTTCATTTGCCATCAAATTTTTGTGATATCCATTTTTTTTCTTAGTACTTCCTAGAAAAAATAAAGAATAACAATTTTATTTATGACAAATGTTATCTATATATGGAGACAAATGAGTTCCTAAAGAATGTTTGACAAATATTCTTTAGGGTTCACCCGCCCCGCCTAGAAGTAGATCAAAACAGGTTCAACCCGCCGGGTTATAATTTTTTTTTTTTTTTTACAATTAGGTAGTATTTAATTTCATTTGCCATCAAATTTTTGTGATATCCAATTTTTTTTTATCTTAGTACTTCCTAGAAAAAATAAAGAATAACAATTTTATTTATGAAAAATGTTATCTATATATGGAGACAAATGAATTCCTAAAGAATGTTTGACAAATATTAGTATACATTTAAGAGATTGAGACTAAAAAAAATTAAAAGAAGTGTGAAATAAAATAAAATAATATTAGAAAAATTCATAAAATATAATTTATTTGTGAATTTTAATTATTATTTTTTAATTTGTAGGTTGGTGGGTTGACCCGCCAACCAACCCACCAGAAAACGAGATAAGTTCATTTTTTCAACCCATATTTAATGGCGGGCCAATCCGCCCCGCCCCATTTTTGGAGGGTTGGTAGCGGGTCGGGGCGGACCAACCCAAATTGTCACCCCTGTAGATTGTTATTGTCATCAAAAAAAGGGAAGAAGATAAATATGAGCAAATAATTTTGGTGACATTCCAATATACGAATATTTTTTGTTCACGTTAATTAACAATGGTAGGCTCTTTTGAATTTTTCCTTTGATAACATATAGCATCTCCAATGCATGGTAGATTGGTAAATTGATAAAAATAGAATATGCAGAGGGAATGTATTGCAAAGACTTAAAGTATATACATAATTTTGCAAAAAAAATATTTCTATAGTGACGGCAGATAAGTTATCTGCATTCACTCTCAAAACAACGTCGTTTTGGGATTGAAAAATTATAATGATAAAGACTATTATAATTCTGAAATATATTAAAATGTTTTTAAACACCTTAATTTTCGCTGCAAAACGATATCGTTTTGGGCTCAATGCAGATAACCTATATGCATTGACTAAAGAAAAAATGAACCCAAAATTTTGGGCTCAAAACAACTTATTTGCAATAATTTTGGGCTTACTAGAGATAAGTTATATCCAGTTACTGGAGAAACGCTTAACCTTTTTTTTTTGGTATGCGAAATGTTTAACCCTTAATTTATATGTCATGTATAAAACATTAAGATAAAAGCCTATTTTATGCTATACTTTGTTAAATTTTATTTTAAGTGGTTATATTTTAATCTTTTTAATATGTTGTATGTTTAATATTTAGAATTATATATTGGATATTTGAGCCTATTATATGTGTTTAAAACATTAGGATAGCAACCGATTTAATGCTATATTTAGTTATTGTAAACTTTTAAATATTGTAAAAGAAATTAAATTATAATTATGTAAGTAAGTAATGTAATGAATGTTGGTATTTCAAAAAATTACGATGAAGAAATTTTATAAATTTTTATTAGTTAAATGGTGATCCCAGTCCTAGAGAGTGGGGCGTATTTGATCCTGATGTGTAGCAAATGCAGATCTAACAAGTTGTTTGGAATGACAGACGTTCCAAGATTTTGAAGATGAGGCGAGTCTCATAGGGATCTTTGGGGGATGTGCATGACCCGTATAACATCCCCTTGGACTTGTAGCAGCACCTAATGCGTGCAGGTTTCTGACACACTGCTCACATGAGACAACTACTGATATGTTTTACTTTTGCTTTAATTCTAGTTATTTATTTTTACTTGATACAAATAACATGAGACCCTCATTTTTTCTTTTTCTTTTCAGATTGACCATGCACTTATTATTGCATTGGTAGAGACGTGGAGACTAGAGACTCACACCTTTCATATGCCTGTTGGAGAGTGCACTATCACGCTGCAAGACGTAGTGGCTATTATGGGTTTGCCCACTGACAGACAGGTAGTTTCCGAGCAAATGCACGGGAATTGGCATAACGTAATACACCATTATATGGGACTGACTCTACTCCCAGCAGACTTGGAGGGCAGTAACCTGAAGAGCTAGTTAGTCCGTCATTATGGCCATTGGGACGAGCACTCAGCTACTCATGTAGGTCAAACTATTTACACATGTGCATATCTAATGCGCGTATTTAATGGTTTTTTGCTCTGCAATAAGTCTAGCTCAGTGGTCCTTTGTCGATTCATACAATTACTGGGTAGGGAGTTTGAGGATATTCCTACATACAACTAGAGTTCGGTTGTACTCGCGACACTATTTCGTGAGTTATGTCAGGCCATGTCTTATGCAGCACACAACATTACTAGATGTACGATGTTGTCATAGTCCCGCACTAACATTGTACATGTTCAGTGTTGCATAGGCCTACGTGAACAAAAGCGGCTCAACTTTTTCATGTTGGGACTTGCTTACGTGGCAAAAGTAATGCACCTTTTCCATGCGGGACTTGCCCACGCAGCAAAAGGTAACATACAGGGTCCTGTACTAGTTGACTGTGCATTTGACCTCATTAGTTTAAAAAAAACTTATCCAATCAACATTAGTTAGGAAATTCTTTTTCCCAATAGTATTAGTACAGTGCTCTTGCCGACAAATATGATATGAGTGTGATGTAATGCAAAGGAAAAAAAGTGCAACGGGTACACGAATTTAGAAGAGAAAATAAATGGAATTGACCATAGTGAAAATAGATGGCAATTATTTTTCCCAATAGTATTTTTCACACACACACACACATATGTATGTATGTATGTATTTATAATGATGCATTATGATGATTTACTTTTGTATTTATATATATACCTGAAGTGAACTTAGGGGTAGAGGAATCCTTCAACGATCCCTAGTTTACTGAGATGATTATCTCATCCCGTGTAAGGACATATTTTGGGTACAGAGATTGATGGTGTTAAGGCATCGCATGTCAGGAGGCCAGGTTAGAGACATGATAAGACATGTGGTCTTAGACTAGTTTTTGATATGTACATGACATGATTTATTATTTTTATTATCTTTTGAGATGTATATGTCATGATATTCTTTTGGAGAGCATATAGGATGTCTATGCCATGTTTATAGTCTACGCGTTTGTTAGTGATGTATGTTTAGGTCTATGTTACTTACTTAATTACATACCTTATGTTTAATTGATGTAATCATGTAAGTAACGCTATGGACATTATTTTTAAAACAGGATATGTATGTTATAGCCTATGCAATCGATTGCTAGGCAATATGATTTATGCATGTGTATATCTCTTGACATGATACCATGTATGACAAGGAAATTATGAAAGAAGGTGTTTCTTGATGAAATGCTTGTAATGTTCATAGAGAATGAATAAAGTAAATATGTTAAATCCATCCTAACGAAATTGTGGTGCCTTGAGAAAGATGACAATGGAAGTTATGATATCGAGTAATAGTGAGATTGATATTGGGAATTGCAATACATGAGGAGAAAAAAAAAGTTGTTTTAATTCTAAAGTTAGTAGTGATTTTACAATTGAGCTTCTATGTTTATTTATTTAAACTTGCTGCGCTTAATATCATATGTATGTTAGTACACCGGATGCACATAGGGTGTTACAATAAACATGCATTGAAAAAGATTTATGAAACGAACAATCTTTTGCGAATTTATTGGAATGAATACATGATTATTAGAAAAAGAGAAGGAAACAACACGGAAATTTGGGGATGATGTAGTTGCATTCTCGTTAAACTGGTTCCATATGACCACTCAATGATCCAACTATTGAACCTATTGCTCTTTCTATCAATAAACTAATCATCATTGTTTTCCTTCTAAATTTGCTCCTGTTTGACATCCTTCATTCTTCATCACTCTCAATTTTGCCCTTGCAGGTCGACTTTCTCTCCTTTTTACACGCCCTAATTTTTGGATCAAGGATCTAGACCGAAAAGTTGTGGATGTAGTATCTTCATACTCATATACTGGCAAATCCTTCTACCAAATCGCGAAAGTGATTGCACTTATGAGTTCCTTTTGATGAGATCTTCAAATAGATACATTACTCACTCAAATCTGACACACGAAGCTAATACTTCAAGATTGTTAGAGACTATAGATTTGAGAGAGCAGAATTTAAATGTGCTTGAAGTATTATTCTAAGATGAATGAGATTTGAAATGTTTAACAGTAATACCTCCGGTTTAGAAAAAAAAAATCCCATAGATAATACATGTTATTGGGTTCCAGCTCATATGGCCCAAATGCATTACTTTCACCCATTAAACTTGTATATGAACCTACAATTTGATTATATATATTATTAATAGAGGAAGGATATTCTTACTACCAAATTTTTTTACTACCAACTTACTACCTATCTAATTACCATTGGATTAACATTTTCTCTTTTTTCAAAAACTTTGTAGAATTCTCTCTCTTTGATTCAATAGTGATTAGATAAGTAGTAAGTTAGTAATAGAAAATTTTAGTAGTAAGAATATCTTTTATCTTATTAATATATCCAAGTGCAATAGTGTAGTACCGGTCTACTTGGGTTACTATATAAGGACCCAGGGTTCACAATGCAGAAGCGTGATAAATAACAAGTTACTTTTTTCGTTATGCATTCTGTTATCTGAATAACCAAATTCTGTTACGCGTTAGCGCCACATAACATTAACATTGCTTTAAGAATCACTACAGCAAATAAAATTCATAAAATGTTTCAAGTTTTATTATTGAACAACAGAGAAAGTGACATTTTTTGTCTTTCGCGGTTACTATAAAGTTGCGGTGGGGGAGAGAAAGAAACTAAACATTTTCTCCCATTATTTTATTGGTAAAATTAAAGTTGGACATTGCTTGATCCACAAATTCAATGTTCAACAGAAGTGACAGAAACAAGAAAAACCCGAGTGAAAGTCACAATCTCCAAAATGTGCATGTTCCTCAGTGATGCACTCATTATTACAGTCGTTAGTGTGTAAACAAGGCCCTCTAAATGTTTTGCTCTTCCTTTTACAACCTTGTGCTTCTGCAAGTTGCACCTCTGCATAAGAATGGAAAAGACAGACAAAAAGAAAGTCAATTATGTGTAATAGATGAATGTAATAGATGAATACGTTGCTTAATTATGTGTTGTACCCCATGTTGAAATAAGGAGGAAGGCAAGGCAGATGAACAGAAAGAGGGTGGAGAATTTTCGAATAGAGGAAGCCATGTTCGTTAAATGTAAATATAGCTCTATAAAATACGTAATTGGTGCTGGTTGAGTTAAGAATAGGAGTACTAGCCCTATTTATAAATGTAATTGCGAAATTGAAACAAACAATAATTCGCATATAAGTTTCCGTCTATCTATAAAGAAATCATATTTTGAAGAGCCAAAATTATTATGCATATTGGGATCGGTTCCGGATATGCATGGGTTCCTTCAGAAAAAGATGGATTGGTCAAAGGTTGGTACTAATATTATAATTTTTTTCGATCAATCCGAAAGTAATCGTAAGACCCTAGGTGTGGCGTAGTGCTATGGGGTTCCGTAGTTTGCATGAGGTCAATGATTCACACTATTGTAAGCAAAAAAAAAATCCTAAGGTAAGTTTTTAGGGATGTTAGAAAAATATAAAAATTATTATTGTAGTCTCACCTCGTAACTTGGGTGGTTACGCTGAATCGGTTGTTTTATATGATATCAAGTCCAATTTGACAAAGTGGTTACGAGTTGGATTCTCACTGCTTTCATTATATTAATATAAAAATTAAATATTGAAAAGTTTCTTAACACATGTAAATTATGTAGATTGTTATTCATTCTTAGAATCCAATAGACTCTCGTATGAAGGAATGTATTAAAGAAATATAATATAATCTTACTTAACTGTTTAAGTGTTTAGGTTAAATTAATCTTTTAGCAAGGTATTTAAGTTTATAAAATCCCCTTGGCAAGGGAATTGAAAATTTTTCATGGCATGGGGGAGAATTTGAGTATATACTCCACAGTCCACACTCCTTATTGGTGATGGCTTTGCGTCAATCGATGCTTCTGCCCTTTTTCGTTGATCTTAGAGCCTCAATAGGATTTATTTTATTTTTTGTTTCAATAACCACTTTGTATAACTTTCTTCTTTTGTTTGTTTTCAATATTTGTATTTGGTTTAATTTATTATGCTCTAGTACCAAATAGTAGTTCAGTTGGTAATAATAGAGTTGAGTAAGTAAAAAGGAAATGGTATCGGTTCGATCTTCATAGGCTAACTTTAGGAGGGTTTTAAATATCTTTATCTTTGACTCACTCCGCACTTCAGATTAGTCTCATAGTCGACTCAAAGAGTTAAAATTTATGAAAATACCAGAGAAATCAACTTGCCTCGAAAAAATAATTAGGGTTAGATTACTGTAAAAAAAGAAAGAAAAAAATTATTACGCTCTTCCTTTGGGAATTGGTAATATGCTTCAGGAATTTGTTCTTGTATATTGCTTCATGGTATTTCGTGGAATAGCTAATTCTAATTGATATTCCTAATGCTGAATTATTTTGTTTCTTTTTATTTAGTTGACTTTTGTCCCAATTCTATCGTTAATCTAGTTGAAATATTTCTCTGTCATTGTTCCGCGTAATTGCAACAGTGGAGAATGAATTTTTAATCTTTGTCTATGCCGAAACAAAATAATTTTTTTATCAACCCTGTATAAAATATGGCTTTTCAAATTATATAATCCTTTCGTAATTAAAATCTACTAAGCCACAAACACTCCCATTTCACATGAGAACATATAGAGAGGAGATTTTTTGACAAATCAAACTTGTAAATTTTTTAACTTATTTTTTTACCTTAAATATTTTACTATCCTTAGTTAATTTTTGAGTAAATAATCTTTTTGGTCCTCAGCAAATTTTACGATACCCACTTTGAATTTGTGACGTACTACAATTTTACGATGGCCTCTAAAAAATTCAAAATGGATCCATTTTAGTCTTTTTAGGGACTAATATGAGTCTTTTTTAAATTTGTGACGTACTACAATTTCAACTAAATGGGTCCATTTTGAATTTTTCAGGGATCACAATGGGCCTTTTTATTTGCTAGGGACTAAAATTGGCATCGTAAAATTTACTAAGGACCAAAAAGAGTATTTACTCTTAATTTTTTATGTTTGATTGTTCGATAATTTATCGATCTCATTCTTTTACGATTAGGATATTATAATTTGTACAACTGATATATCTTAATTGTCTCAAAATGGATATATCTGACAGAGGAATACAAAATCATGGAAAACTTCAACAACAAAAAAACCAGTAAATTGTTTACCAAAAAAAAAAAAAACCAGTAAATTTCCTCAGAATATCCCGATCCTAAAAATTTTAATCATTTACACTCTAACTTAAGTTTCTTTATCATTTATCTCCTAATTTAATTTTTCATCCAAAATTAAAGTTAATAGAGTCAAAAAATTTTAAAATACCAAAACTACACTTTAAATATAAAAAAAAAAACATGATTTTAACGTGTATGAGCAATTTTTTTTAAGGGTATGAGCTTTTTTTTTAACATAAAAGTTCAGGTATGAGCATTTACTTTTTAAGGGTATACAGATATGCTCCTTCTATTTTATTTTAAGTGTAGTTAAGGTATTTTACAAAAAAAAAAAATTAACTCTATCAACTTTATTTTTGGATGAAAAATTAAGTTCGAGGGACGTGAAAAAGATAAGTAAGGATGTAAATCATTTAAAATTTTGGAGAGTAAGTGATTCTAGAGGAAATTTATTGGGGTTTTTTGAAGTTTTCTTTAAAATTATTAATGTAGCCTCACCCAAGAGCTTGAACTTTTGAGTTGAATTGATTTTTTTAAATGGTATTAAAGCTAACGTGACAAAGTGGTCATAAGTTAGATCATCTTTGCCCTCCATTCTGTTAATAAAAAATAATAAATATTATAGAATTTCTTAGTACAAATAAGACCCTTTATGCCTAATGGGCTTTTTCTATTAAAGAGCGTGTTACAAATATATAAAAGTATTAATGTAGCCTTACTTAACAATATTAACTTTTGGGTTGAATTAGTTCTTTATAATATTAAAGCTACAATAGATTTTGTTTTCACAACTTCCTATTTTTATCTTGTTTTCAAATGGATATATCAAAGCTACATTAGACTCAGTTTTTCCAATTTTTTTCCAAACTCAATGAATTTGGCGTGGTTACTTATATGATGTTTACATATGTATGTGGGTGGTGTCCGTTGGACTTTAATAGTAACCCATTATATTGGCACTGTTATTTGCTTTGTTTGCCACACAATCAAGAACATGAATGTATAATTTTCAAAATATTGTTGAAAATAAATTTGGTAGCTTTTTAACATGTTGCTACACTTTAAGAAAAATATTATTGTGTAATGAATAGGTTTTAAAAAATAAATTATAATTTTAAAAAAATAGTTAACTATATAGACAAAAGTGTGCTTTAAAAAATTACATACCTTAGAGAAAGTTTCACCGTAAGGTTATTGATCAATTCAATAACTATTGAGTTAGATTACACAGAGTTGAGCTTGCAATATTGTTCATGCATGGACCTTGATTGAGATTGTTGTTGCGAGATGAAACTTTGCGAGATGTGTGTTTGGCTGGCGGGATGATGTGCGAGATGTCCTGGTGGTAGAGAAAGTTGAATTGATTTGAGGAGGTTGGAGGGAGGTATCTGCAAGGTACTCCGACATTCAAGTCAATAGTTATTCAAGGTAGTCAAATATGGATAGATAAATGATCATATATGGTCTTAATGCTTCTGTATATATAGTGTATATAGTAGATAAGTGTCCTGGTTATTTTGCCTTAGTATGGCAGTGTCAATTCTCATTGGTGGATAGAAGTGGTCATGCCAGGTGATCTTGCATGCAGGAAGCCTAATATCAAGCTATACTCTGTAGAGGTAATTGTAAACATGTGTCTGTCTTCTATCCATTGGCTATAAGAGGGGTGGCAGTGTTTTGAGCAACTGATGTCGTGTAGCCACAATTGACTGACCAGTTGATGTCATGTGTAAGGAGGTTGCAGGATTGTCAAGATATGTGAGATATATATCTGTGTTTCCTTGTTCTGGAAGCAATAGTCCTCGGGATTTTGGGCCTTACACTGTTTAGGTCTGTTATCTGGCATGGGTAGGTCCAAATTAGTAGTTCCCCAGTTTGATTCAAGACTTAATGATGATTAATCATTTTTTTTATCATACCATTCATGCAACCACGAATAAATTAGTGGGAGCATATAAGAAGTTAAGAAAAATGGAATTTTATTTATTTTAGTAACTTAGTCTTTTACTTTAACTATTTTACTGTACTTTGAGGGTTTTTTTTACCCTTTTTCCCTTCATCAATTAAAAAATAATCATTTTCCCCCTCACCCAAAACATTCCACCCATCTTTCATCTCGTCCTGCATTGCTTTCTCCCATTTTTTTCTCCTCGGAGCTCGTTATGGCTTCATCATAGCTATAGGTGTAAGAACCCGCACTGTTAATTAAGGAAATTAATTAATTAAATATGCAAAATTAGGAAATGATTCCATAATTGACCCTAATAATTATTATGAGGCTTATATAATTATAGAAAGTGGTTAAGAATGCTGAAAGTCGCTTTTCGGAAGAAAAGTGCAGATACCGGTTCCGCTAGTCGGTATAAATGCGTACCAAAAAAGTATCCCGAAAAATTATAATAAATACATGATAATTCCTAGAATAATATATAGGACTTGTATAACGAGTTTCAAGTTAAAATAATGAGAACTGGTGCCAGAAACTGATACTGGCTATGAAAAGCGCGTACCGGAAAGGTGCTCCGAAAAATATAATAAAAATATGATAATTCTTGTAAATCCTGAGTTTGGGATTAAAATGCTAAGTGTAGCAATTAAAGTTAATACTGTGTGTTTAAGTGTTAAACCGCCTATATATACTCATTTGTGCACAAAACCCTAGACTTATTCAAATGTTGCATGACACTCTTGGAGGTGCTGATCATTTGGCACTGTTCCATTGCCTTCCCTTCCCCATTCTTGAGCTTTAAGGCCATTTCCTTCCATTTCTCTTCTCCTAAACACTTGGTGAGAGTGAGAGTGACCTTGGGGGTGAGTGGTCAGCTTGTTGCTGAGTTATGGACTCTGTTTTGAGGAGTTCCTTAGGCTGAGTTGGTGGGTTGTTGGGTTGGAGCTTTGT